ATCTGGGTCCTCGTTTTACCCACCTGGGAAGGAGGGAAGGCTGAGTCAACCTGGAGCCTGGTGGGATTCGAACTGACAAATTGCAGGCAGCCGGCAGTCACCAGAAGGAGCCTGCAGTACTGCACTCTAACCACTGCACCACCACGGCTCTTAAGGAGAGAAGTTGATGGAAGTCGCAGTTGTCAGAAGTTGTGGCTTTAAACCAGCCTCAGCCACGTGAAGAAACTGGGGGGCCCTTAGCTTCTCCTGGCTTGGTTTGCTTTGAAATTCTGAAATTGCTTTGAAATTTTATTGAAATTCTGAGCCAAGTTGAAGTCAGGCAGGTGCTATTATTGTAACAGGTAAGGGAAAAAGAAATACACCTGATATAGGGCATTTCTGCCCTTGTTTCTTTCTAAGCAGAACTACCACAAAACCTGCCTCCACTGAAGTCAAAGCGCCGGAACAGGAAGGAAAACTGGTGGACCTTGACTTTCCCATTATCCCAGATCTGGTAAGTGCCACCCAAATATTTTTGGTGGTTTGTTCCGTTTAATGTTTGTACAATGGAAGCCAACCCATTGCCAGGCTTGTCTAGGGAGATTCTCCATCATCTATCAGGTCATTGGTTGTCCCAAAGGGGCTTTTTTCAAGAGGCAACTGGACTTTCTGGTTTTCCTTTTTAAAACGTTTCGCCTCTCATCCAAGAAGCTTCTTCAGCTCTTTGTAATTCCTTCCATCCTTCAACATCCACCCAGAGCTAAAGAAGCTTCTTGGATGAGAAGCGAAACATCTTCAAAAAGAAAAACTAGAAAGTCCAGCTGCCTCTTGAAAAAAGCACCTTTGGGGCATTGCCAGATTTAAAACAGCAAGGCATCGCTGACGGGGGAAGTTTGGGCCTGCGTGCTTCCCATTTCATGCCACAGAAGACACCAGAATCTTCTCAAGGCTATTTGGTCAAATAAACCACTGATGCCACATATTGTTCTGACCCAGGCTTTGTAAACTAATTAATCACAAACTTGTTTTAATAGCAAAACCTACTGTATTTTATCGCAACCCTGGGAATTGCTTCCATTCCCAGCCAGAATTAAACTCAAACAGTTCCCCAAGATAAGCACCCACCTTTCAGTTCTGTGAAGTGCTGCCAAAAACAGAAGTCTCCAATGAACTAGGAAAGAAAACAACTGAGGTACAAGAAAACAACCAACCAAAGTACACAGAGCTTCAAGGAGCACTTGGAACCGATCGAACTACTTTGCTTCCTGCAAAGGTTTCATCATCTTGGCCTGACTTTTATCCCTTATGAGAGGGGCCATCACCTCCTAGCCTTACTCCCGAGTCGCCCCTTTTGTCTCAGCTGCTCTCGCCTTCTGGCAGCTCTGCGCATGCGTGCACTGGGAACAGGCTCCCCTGGGTCCTCTGCCTCGCTGTTGCCAGACTCCGGAGGCTCCAGCCACCCCCAGATGGTCCTGGCCCCACCTCTGCATCGGATGCAGGACCCTCGTCTGAGTCCTCCCCAGACTCCTGGACTGGTGCCCGTTCTTCCCCACTGTCCGATTCCACTGCCGTCTGCACCGGCTGCCAGCGAACCACAACACACACATAGATGTAAGGAATTAGGGTTGCTGTTGGTAGTCCTTGACTTACGACTCCAAAATTTCTGTTGCTAAGCAAGGCATTTGTTAAGTGAGTTTTGCCCCGTTTTACGACCTTTCTTGCCACCGCTGTTAAGTGCATCCCACTGCAGCCGTTAAGTTAGTAACTTGGTTGTTAAGGGAATCTGGCTTCCCCACAGACTTCGCTCATCAGAAAGGGCTCATGGGACCCCCAGGGGGTGCTGCAACAATCCTAAGTACGTGTCAGTTGCCAAGCCTCTGAATTCTCATCACGTGACCCTGGGGATGGTACGACGGTCATAAGTGTGGAGAACAATCCTAAGTCACTTCATATGTTGCCATTGTAACTTCGGTCACAAAACGAACGGCTGTACATTAAGGACACTCTGTATGCCACTGAGTAAATAAGCCTTTCTCGAGTCATAGTCGAGATGTTTTCATGCCTGAGGCGTGCGTTCTGTTTCCGGCCACAGGCAAAGGCACCTGTGGGCGTCCCAGCGGGTCACGAGGAGCCACTGTTCTCCTGCGCTTGGCCTCTGGATGCTGCTGCATGTGGGCTGAAATCCCGTGAGAAGGACCTGGAGGAAGCTTTGGAGCAGGTGAAGCTGGAGAGGGATGCTGCTGTCCAAGACCTTACTGCCAAGGTGAGAACGTCACTCTTCGTTTTGAGCCTCCCTCCATGCCCATCTTAAGGCAGTGGGAGCTCTAAAGTTCTTCCAAAGAGGGGAGAGGGCAACCCAGGATCCTGACCATTAACCCTCTGGAGTGCTTTCCTATCTGCCCCTGTGCAATTGGCAAACCATACAGAGTCAGTTACTATCTTGAAAACATGTATGGAATGCACTTTTGATTTCCAAGCAAACCCCTTTCTCCCCTTCCCTTTCTGTTGGCAACTCTAAAAGGACTAAATATATATATATAGTCATCTGCCATCATCAGGCTTCTGTATAGTGTTCATCTGTGAGTCAGGCTTTCACAGCCGTTTCTGTTTTAAATTTGGGCCTAGCCTACGCTGTGCCAGACAAACGCTATACAGAAGCCTGATGATGGCAGAGGAGACTCTGCCGAAACATCGCTACAACTTTAAAAGCACAAGTACTATGACGTGGGAAAATACCCGAACAAAGCTGAATACCATACATGTAAGTACCCGCGAAAACTTGAGAAAACATATATATATATATATGCAGATGCACGTACACACACGCATACATACATACATACATACATACGAATGATATATTCAATATCCTAGCAGTTTTGTCTAATTTCCCTGACCAAAAGGAGGCTGCAGTCCTAGGGCTCTGCTTCTGTTGGTCCAGAGTTAGGGAGGCCAGATGAGAAAGCTGGCTTAGGTAGGTTTGCTCCGTTCCCTCCCCAGAATCCGAAAGGCCCCCCCTCTTCTTGCTAAGGGCTTGGGGGGATTTTTGCTCTTTCAGCTCCAGGAGAAAGAAGCGGAGGCTTTGGAGTGGAAGAAGAAGTACGAGAAAATGCAGGCCGAAAAGAAAGAGATGCAGTAGGTGTCCGTGGGGAACGTGGGATTTGCTCCGGGAGGCTGGGCTTTTGTCTGGTGACAGTCAGGAGAAAGAAACGCAGCAGGGCTGCACCTTGGCGGAGCTTTCGAAGTACAGCCCGTCCTCGGCTTACGACCACAACTCAGCCCAAAATTTCTGTCCTTGAGCGAGCGATTTATCGAGCGGGTTTTGCCCCGTTTTATGGCCTCCCTTGCCAAGCGAATCCCTGCGGTTGCTAGTAAGGCGGTTGTGAGTTCGACCCTAGGTAGAGCAGGGGGTGGGACTAGATGACCCCTGAGGTCCCTTCCGACTCTTGTCATTCCATGATTCTGTGGTGTTTCCCCCTGTTGACGTGGCTTGCCAGAAGGTCCCTCAAGGGGAGCACGGGACCCTGGGACCGTCATAAATGGGAACCAGCTGCCCAGCGTCGGAATTTGGATCGTGTGACCGTGAGGAGGCTGCAGCAGTCGTCAAGTGTGAAAAATGGTCATAAGCCACCTTTTCTCTCTGCCGTTGTAACTTCGAGCGGTCGCTAAACGAAGTTTGGCATGAGTCGAGGGCTCCCTGTCCACGAGGGCGGGGTGGAGCTCGAGCAGGGGCGCAAAATCACACCATGCCACCACGAAAGGCGCCTTCGCTCCGTCCTCGTGTCGGGAAGAGCTCCGGTCTAGTTCTGGGGTGCAATTATCAATTGGGGGTTTCTTTCCACAAATGCCAGCAAAAAAGATTCCAATATTGGCTAAAGATGGCGAGGGAAACGCCTGCATTAGATCGCATGCCTTTTGCGTTGCATTTTGTTTTTCCAGAGGTGGGTGTATTCATATCCCTCCTTTCTTATTTTTATAAATAAAGGTGGTAAACATACCTAACCCCCCCCTCTTTTCCTCACCACAACATCCCTGTGAGGTGGGCTGGGCTGAGAGAGAGAGGGACCGGCCCAGAGTTACGCAGCCGGCTTTGGTGCCCTAGAGCTCCCCGTCTCCTGGTGATTGGCCCAAAGTCACCCAGCTGGCTCTGATGGCCAAGGCAGGACTAGAAGTCACCACCCCCTGGTTTGTAGCCAGGTGCCTTTAACCCCTGGGTTTATTCCTCCCCTTCCTCCTCACCAGTATGCAGTGGATAACATCTCGAACAGATGAGACTGGTAGATGCCTCTCCTGCTTTCATTTTGCAAATTGTCTCGCACAATCTTCTGTTTCGAGAGGGCAAATAATCCTGTTTTTGTCAGGATTCCAGCCATTGCCCTAATTCAATCCTGATTCTCGAGCCAATCTTCGAAAACCTTCAAAGGATTTATTAGAGGCGAAATGCTGGCCCTGCCCTGTATGAAGCCAACTCTGGCCTGCGTCATTTCCAGTCCTCTGTGACCCTGTCATCCCCCCCCCCCCCCCGGGTGTGTCATAAATGAGATTCTCCAATTGAGCATCTTCCTGGGCTGGGTGGCATCATTCACGTTCAATATATTCAATATATTTGCGGGCAAAAGGTCTGGTAGTTTAGTTACAATCTTTGAAAGAGTTGAGTTGGAATGTTTGCTGTGTTGCCCCTCCAGATTTCCTTCCTCTCTCCCCCCCCCCCCTTTTTATTTTTATTTTTTATGGCAACTACTAAAAGAGGCCTAGGAATGTTTTATGAGTTGACGGTCTCCTGTTTTCTCTGGGTTTCCTTCGCCTAGTTTCACTAGAAGGGCCTGGAAGCGAAAGGAAAACCCCTTCGTCAAGAGAGTGACGATGCCTGAAAGGCTCCTGCCGACAGAAAGTGGGGCCTACTCAGCAGGGCGACGTTGGATTAAACATCCTGACGGCACGTTAAAATAATTTCCTCCTTTTCTTTTCAGAAAAATTGTGGCAGAGTTTGAGGACATGACGCTACAAGTGATGGGTAGGTTCAAATGGCATGTTATTAAATGCCTATTTCTGAGGAAGGAGCAACGCCCCACAGTCTCCCCCCCCCCCCGGGCTTTTGGGCTTTTGGGCATCCTGGGCCTTGAACGCGTGAAACGGCCTCATCTGCAGTCGGCCGGAGAACAGACCGGAGGGCTAGATTGAGGTGTTGCGACGCTGCAGGGCTAAGGAACGCTGGAAACGTAACTCAGTGACCCTGGGAGGGTGTCAGGTTGGGAGACCCTGAGATAGATTCCCCCTGCCCCAAATCTCTAGATTTTAAGGTGCTTTTTCCCCCAAGAGGCGGCTGGACCTTCTGGTTTTTCTTTGAAGACGTTTTGCTTCTCATCCAAGAAGCTTCTTCAGCTTCTTCAACAGGATGGTAGGGTTGGAAGGATTGATACTCCTTGCAGACAGCTGGTCACTGGCATCCTTCTTGGAGAGTCGCTGAGGCCACTTGGGAGGTTTATCCGTGTCCTCTCTCCGAAAGGATAATGCGAATGACCAGCCGCCTGCAAGGAGTATCAGTCCTTCCCTCCCACACGATCCCTTCAGAGCTGAAGAAGCTTCTTGGGTGAGAAGCGAAACGTCTTCAAAAGGAAAAGCCAGAAAGTCCAGTTGCCTCTTGGGGGGGGGAAAGCATGACGGGGAATCAACGTTTAGATTTTAATACTTGAATTCAATAACATTCAATCGTTGACTAGGCAGGGCCTTAGTTTGGGGGAATCTCCCTTCCTATATACCTCCTAGAACAGCGGCCCCCAACCTTCCTGGCACCAAGGACCAGTTTTGTGGAAGACCTTTTTTTTCCCCCATGGGCCAGAGAGGGTGGCGGGGATGGATTCACACGGAGCCCAGACCCCACACAGGCGCAAGAAAGCTTCGCCGTCTCGCCCGCTTCTTGGGCGGCCCGGTTCCCAACAGGCGGCGGTCGGGGGCTCCCTGTCCTAGAACGTCGTCCTTGTGCCAAGTGAAGTGACTTCTTTTGTTGCAGCGGATTGTCAGAGCCAGAAGGAGCTTGCGAAACAGGAGCTGCAGAAGGCCTTGGAGGGAAAGCAGCAGGCGGTCTCTGACCTGAACGCCCTGGAGAAATCCTTCTCTGAATTCTTCAACCGGTTTACAAAGCAAAAGAAGGCCATAGAAGGATTTCAGAAGGTGAGCCGATGCTCTGCCCTGAGCCGAAAACTTTCCATTTGTCACGGGAAGCATTTTGGCTCTAGAGGATTGAAGCCCCAGGTGTCCTTTTCGTCAATGAGGAGCGTTGCGATCGGCAAGAGAGCTGCCTACATCACTAAAACGACCATATAAATAATTACAGTTGTGCCAAATATCGATCTTCAATCATCTGGGGATAATTGTATTTTTGAAGCTGTAAATAGGTCCCAAAACACTTTGTTGAGTTCCTTTTTAATGCTGTTAATAGCTCTTTTATTTTTGATAGGAAGGTGCTATTTCTGCTTTTTTAAAAAGGTGTTTGCTTTTCTGTACATAGGGAATCAGTATTGTCTCTTGGTTGATTACACTAATTGGTTGGAAGAAAATGACGTCGCTAAGCCAACATTTATATTAAGTTCCAGTTTCTGTATCTGATCAGATATATCTGTGTTTGCTCTGCTGGAGAAAAACCCTTTTGCCTAAAGAAAGTGTTTGGCCTCAAAAACAGGCAAAATGCTACCTTAAATATCCACATAAGAATGTTTAAGAATCTAATTACCAACAGTTTAGCCATGGTGACAGTGCTGGTGAAAGGAGCCACAACTGGCATTTTATATGTTGAAATTTAAGTGCTTGGTAGCAGAGCCAGAATTGAAGACCTCAACACTGGTCTTTTGTACATTTTTGTCCAAAAGAACAAATGTACACTATTCCAGTGGTCCCCAACCAGTGGGCGGGGGATCACTGGTGGTCCGTGAGAAAATGTGGGTGGTCCGCAGTTCCCCCCCCCCAAAGCAATTAATCCAGGCTGCGCGGGAACACAAGGCTTGTGTTGCTTGCATTGTGAACAACATGTAGTGAGGGGAGGCAGGAAAGTGGGGAGGGGGGGAACTTGCTCCACGTGCCTCGGCTGGCCCCGGGCTGCTTCTTTCCGCTTCTTTCTTCTTCTGCTTTTGGCTGCATGCAAGGAAAGCAGCAGAAGTCTTTCTTTCTCTCTCCAAACTCTGCCAGAAATGAGTCTTTGGGACCCTGCAAGGCCTCCTGCTCCAAGGGGATGTGCTGCAAAGACTCGTTTCTGGCAGAGTTTGGGGGAAAGAAAGAAAGACTTCTGCTGCTTTCCTTGCACGGAGCCAAAAGTCTTTCCCTCTCTCTCTCTCCCACTGAGAACGGAGCTGGAGATGGGATCCTGCGATCCCAAATAAAGAACGATCGATCGGTAGGAAAATGGGGTGGAGGATTTTCCTGCAGGCTTTTTTGGGGGGATTTTCCCAGGGTCTCTGGTCCGTGGGCTTTAAAATGGTGAATTTGGTGGTCCCTGAGGTCCAGAAGGTTGGCGACCCCTGGACTGTTCCCATTCCAAGAAAGAGGATTGTTTTCTGGGATGGCCAAGCAGGGGCTTTGTGTTCAAGAAGACCAACGGGGAAGGCGGAGGGCTCATCGTCCCAGCCGTTGAGATCCCCAGGCCTTGATCTCGTCCCCTAGAACGAAGAGACGCTGAAGAAATGCGTGGAGGATTACCTCGAAAGAATCAAGAAGGAAGAGCAGAGGTACCAGACCCTGAAGGCCCACGCGGAGGAAAAGCTAGATCAGTGAGTCGGGGTCCTTCCGCGTTGGGGAGAAAACGAAAACCCGGGAACATGAGCTAAATTGTGGGCGGCCCTGTTCCTCTTTCTTCCCCCACAGGGCAAACGAAGAGATCGCCCAGGTGAGAAACAAAGCCAAGTTGGAGGTGGCTGCCCTCGATGCCAGCTTGCGCAAAGAACAGATGAGGGTCCAGTCATTGGAGAGCAGCCTTGAGCAAAAGGTCAGTCCAGCCAGCAAGAGCCCCCTGCCCCCCCCCCCCCCCCCCCTTTTAATTAAAGAAGGAAACAAGTAATGGCGGATTTATGGCCCGCCTGTCCCATGACATAGCAACTCTCGCTAACTCTTCATTGATAAGCCTGCAAGTCCGTCGGATGCATCTGTGAGGCATAAGGGAATAAAAGCTACCCTCCAACTTTTGGACCTTGGGAAGGCGTGGGCTGTAAAAAATCAAGTTTAACTCAAGCGTACAGCTCCTTGTAGAATTTGGCAGGTGCAACTCCGCTTGGTTTCTTGTAAATACCACCACACATGCATGTATACCCAGAGAGAGAGAGAGAGAGCTGACCCTGTGAAAGAGAACGCCCTTAATGTAAGTGTCACTTTCTCAATTGTATTTATGCCCCATCTACCGTACGGTGCTTCCTTTTTGCTTCTTCCACAGATAAAAGAAAACGAGGAACTCACCAAATTCTGCGACGAATTGATTTCTGGGATGGAAAAAAAGTGATCTCTGCCTTCCTCCCATTTTGTTCTCTTCTCCAATTTTGGGGTAGATTATTTATGAAATGGATTTCTACGCTTCAGTGTCTCTAGTTTGACTAATATTGTTTGAGATGAAATAGTTTTCTTTGTATTCCCACTTTCTGTTTCTACAAGGTAGTTGAAGAGGCCTGCTGTGGATAGCCAGGTTTGGGGTGCTTTGGATTTTAGTCTGCAGTCTTTAAACTACCCAATGTTTGATAGGATATTTTCTGCATTCTTGAGCTCAACTTTATTGCTTCTTTCTATGTTTCTGACAGTCAGCAAGGAAAATTAATTTCATTTTGTATGAAAGAAGTAGAGAAAACTTATCTGTCATTTGAACGAATACTTCTGATATTATATTGCACAGACTCTTATAATAAAAATTGTTCATTAACCATTGGTTGTCTTCATACAAATCAGTATCCAGAAATTGCAAAATATTCTGTCTCCAATTGTTGAGCCATTTCTTTCTCTCTTTGATCTTTAAAAATGTTTCATTAAATTTGTAAATTTGCTGAGTTGTATATTTTATAACTAAATGAATAAATAGTATGCATTTAATGCAAGTAGAAAAGTCAATGTATAACTCCTTATTTTTAAGACGATGTCAATATGTGCTAGGGATGTCGAGGTTGATTTGTTTCAAATTTTTCCTAGCAAAGAACATACAATAAAACTAATAACATTTATTATTTATTGGTTAAATTTATTTTCTTGTCTATCTCGCCATGGGGCTACTTTAGGCGGCTTGCGGCAATAAAAAGGAAGAAATGAAAAGAATGAAAAAAGCCATAGCAGAAGTAAACTAATAGAACAGCAGAACCAAAGTCCCTCCGCCGGCACGAGAAGGAGAGGCTCATCCCAGCGGTGGCTCATCAGGTGGCCTGGAGCTCTGCTGTTGAGGGCTTTGAAGGTCATAACCAACAACTTAACAGATAATGAGAGCTGGAAGGGATCTTGTAGGTCAGGGGTCCCCAACCGCTGGTCCGCGGACCGGTACCGGTCCGCAGAACAAGTCTTACCGGGCCACTGGTTGCTGGGCGCCGCCATCTTTTTTTGGTAAAAAAGTGCTTCCGGTGAGCTTTTCCGGGTAGAAAGCTCACCGGAAGCACTTTTTCATCAAAAAAAGATGGCGGCGCCCAGTTGATGCCGGTACCGGGCCGCGGCGCCCAGCTGATGCCGGTACCGGGCCGCGGCGTCAAAAAGGTTGGGGATCACTGTTGTAGGTCATCTAGTCCAACCCCAACCCCGCCGCCCAAGTGGGAGACCCTACACCATTTCTGACAAATGATAGTCCAGTCTCTTCTTGAAAGCCTCCAGGGATGAAGCTCCCACAACTTCTGAAGGCAACTTCTGTTCCATTGGTTGATTGTTCTCACTGTCAGAAAGTTTCTCCTTATTTCCAGGTTGAATCTCTCCTTGATCTGTTTACATCCATTATTGTTCCTTGTCTGGCCTTCAGGTGCTTTGGAAAATAGCTTGACCCCCTTCCTCCTCTCTGGGGCAGCCCCTCAAATATTGGAGCACTGCTATCCTGTCTCCCTTGGTCCTTCTCTTCCCTAGACCAGCCACGCCCAGTTCCTGCAACTGTTCTTCGTATGTTTTAGTCTCCAGTCCCCTCATCATCCTGGTTGCTCTTCTCTGTGCTTTTTCTAGAGTCTCAATATATTTTTTAAAATGTGGTGACAAAAACTGGATGCAGGACTCTAGGTGTGGCCTTACTAAGGCTTTACAGAGTGGTATTAGTACTTCCCTTGACCTTGATTATGTTAATGCAATTTAGGATTGCATTGGCTTTTTTGGCTGCTGCTGCACACAGCTGGCTCCTATTTAGCCGGTTGTCCACTGAGACTCCAAGATCCCTTTCACAGTTGCTGCTACTGAGCCTGGTTTCACCCAGTCCGTACGTATCCTTTGGGTTTTTCTTGCCTCAGTGGAGGATTTTACTCTTCTCTACACTGAATTTCATCCTGTTAGATAGGGCCCAGTGTTCTAGTCTGTCAAGATCCATCTGGATCTTGAGCCTATCTTCTAAGGTGTTAGATATTCCTGCCAGCTTAGTATCCTCTGCAAATTTGGTAAGTTTCCCACATCTAAGTCGTTCATGAAGAGATTGAAGAGTCCTGGCCCTAAGGCAGAACCTTGTGGCACCCCCCCCCCCCCCCCCTTCCTTCCCTCCATGGAGAGTTAGACCCATTAAGAGCTACTCGCTGAGTACAGTTTGTCAGCCAGTTGTGAACCTTGAATTGCTCCCGGAAGCAGACAGGTAGCCAGCAAAGTTTGTGGAGCAGAGGAGTGTTACGGGCTCTCGCTGCTGTATTTTGCCCCAGCTGAATGGATTCCAAGGGTAGCCCCATGTAGATTGCATTGCAGTAGTCTGGATGAAAGAGGAGTGGAGTTTGAGTAATCGAGCGCAGGGAATCCTGGCCCAGGAAGGGTCACCGCTGGGGCACAAACTAGCCGCGCAAAACCCCTCCGGGTCGCGCCCCCGTTGGCTCTTTGAGCAGGAGATGTGAGTCCAGGAGAACCTCCAAGCTGCAAACTGGATCTGAACCAGGTAATGTGACCCGGTCCAGAATTAAAAGATGGCGAAAGCCCTGGATCCTATAGGGGTTCCATGTCCTCAAAGCCACTAAGTCTTGCCAGGAAGAGTTGGGTTGAAATTTGTTGTCCCCTATCTAGGTCCTTCCAACTTCCAAGCACCACGAAAAGGTAGTGGGACCTCAACACTGATGACCAGGTGTGGAGCTCAGTACCGTCAGCATGTTGATATGTCCACCCACAGTAAAGGTTGGTCTCAGCCAGTGGCTTCGTGTAGATCAGGGGCCCCCAAACTTGGCAACTCCCAGGGAGTTGAAATCCACAAGCCTTTAAAGTGGCCAAGTTTGGGGACCCCCGAGGTAGATGTTGACTAGCAAGGATGTTGAGTAGCAGGCCTTGTGGAGCTGCCGCACAAGCGAGAAGTCAGATCTCTCACTTCCCTGTTCCCAATTGGTCTTGGGGAAAGGAACGGAACCAGCACGAAACTGCCACCCAGCACTATTAATCCCAGGGAATTTTGTGAGTTTGAATCCACAGGTCTTAAATCAGTAATTCGTTATTTGTACATTTTTGACATTCACAATATGGAATGGAAAAACACATAGATACTGTATTACCAAAAGGAAGTGTTGGTGAATCTAAGACTCACACATACACACACATCCAAAATAAACTTTAGACCAAAAAAAAAAAAAATCCTGCTTAAAATAATCTCATCAGTAATCTTGGGGAAAATAGTCTTTGTTTTCAGGTAAATATGCTTGTTTCAGCTTTAGCAAGAAATAAGAATATTGCCCTACGGGTATAACAGTCTCCATCTGAGATACGTTTCTGTTAAACAAGATTGAAAAGAAAGGAAAAATACAAGTTTCCTAAAGGCGTGTTACAGTTAAGTGATTATTCCGTTCCTAACCAGTAGGTGTCACTGTTGCCACACTCGATTCACACATTCGACTCCTCGATCTCTTATTTCTTAAGCAAAAAAAACCACCATTGATTTCTAAGATTATAAAATGGATCTTATTTCCTTCAGATCCTCAGGAATTTACAGCATGAGGTCTATATTGTGTAACACAAATGCTATAAAGGTATTTTTTTACAAGTCAGCATTAGTGTGTTTTCCCCTTTTGCCTAAATTTTTTAAGTCCATACCGGAGGGGTGAGGGGTGTAGGCAGGTAGACTTTCAACAAATGCAGTTACACCATTATTGAAAAGAGAAGCTCTTGGTTAATTTGCCCCTGAGTTGATCACGTAAAGCAAAACATTTACCCAAATCCATCTCTTTTATCTCTGGCTGACAAACAGAAATTCCACAAAATTACAATTTATTTTAAAGATGGGGCATGACAGCATGGGAAAGGACTTGCCATGACTCCCCCCCCCCCCCCCCGTCAGAGTGAATACGAGGAGGAAGACGAACAGCCCTCAGGGAGTGGGAGCGTGGCTCCGTTGGCCGTGGAGGAAACGGAGAGGGCAAAGTCTGGTTGGGCAGAGCAGGGGAGAGGTAGAACAAGGGAGAGGGAGTTCAGAGGAAGACCCGGGCCCACCACCCTCTTCATCCTAGGGCACGCAGGGAGGAACGGAGAAGGGAAAAACATGGGTGGTGTGGCTTACAGGGGAGGAAAGGGCCCTGATTCCCTTCATTAGCCACACCTGGGAAGAGAGTTTAAAGGAGAACCAGTTGCAAGGGGCATTTGTTGGGAACAAACGTTGAGTTGATCTCATGTTGGCTGCTAACTTATCTTAGTTCCTGGCATCCTCCTAACTGGTTGGATTTACTGCTGTGTTACTTCACTCCTGGAACTCCTTATCTTGCCCTGCCACGTTTATTACCTTATCTTGCCTTGTTGGATTTATAATTTGAAGTTGTCTGTTTACACTATTTTGGATTGGACTATCTGCAGCCAAAGGCTGTTGCAGGTTCCTGGGAGAGTTTTTCTCCAGACCGGAAGGTAACCGGAACATTAGGGGCAAAGTTGGAGCTAATAAAGGGACCCCTACTTATTATCTGGCTGGGTTGCCTTTGTGCCACGCCTCCGGTCATCAGGACTCGTTTTATCCCCTCAGTTTCAAGATTACTAGTGAAAAGGCGGCACAAACTGGGTTTTGTTTAGACTCCAAAATGGGACAATGTGCTGGAGAAGAAAATGGAGTGGGACACTTTGTATGAAACCACTTTTTTATATCATAGAATAAAAGGATTGGAAGGGACCTCGGAGGTCTTCTAGTCCAACCCCCTGCCCAAGCAGGAGAGCTTATACCATTCCAGACAAATGGCTGTCTGGTCTCTTCTTGGAACCTCCTCTGAGGAAGTACTTACTACCCACAATGTCTGGAGGCAAGCTGTCCCGTCCATCTGTGTGTCTACATCCCATGGGACGTGGGTTACTGCCTTCCTAGCAGATCAAAGTCACAGTACAGTGTTGTTTGGTGAACAGCTCTAAGAACAATCAGAAAATGTTCATTGCGCATCCAGGCGGAATTTTCCAAGGTTTTTCCCCGCAGTGATTACTCTGCTTGAATCTAAGATCATTGGTCCCCAACAGAGTTCAGCTTGACATCCCATTGCCTGTTACTAATTCTTCTATGCTCCTGGATCAGACCACAATCCAAAAATGCTACTCTGAAGTTGGGGCTCTGTGTTTCCCCCCCAAAAAAATTCTCTTTTCTTTCTCTGGTATACACATTAAACCCGTGACAGGAGGAATATTAAATAAGCCAGGTTTTTTTCCCCCTGTGGGGTCCTTGGTGCCCTCTGAACTCGGTTGAAACATTTCATTACCCTAGTTGGTAACATCATCCATCTACAAGGGAGTGAGATTTGCTCTAGCAAAGCTTCCTAGGACAGAGGATGTCCAGTTTGGATAATGAAACATCTGCAACCAAGATCAGAGAGCACCAAGAAACATTCCTCCTCCCCCCTCCCTGCTTCCTTCCTTCC